CATCCGGTCTTGAAGTGTTTCCAAAGCAGAGGTTGTCTGTTGGATGACCAAGCAGTGTGTTCCTAGGAGGAAGAGAATTGAAGTTAAGTGAAAAGGCACCTGAGGAGAAATTGTCTTGGACTGGAGGGTCTCCACACAGCCCTTTCAAGAGATAGAGAGGGCGGAGCTCTCCTTAGCAGATTTCTCCCTGGACTTGGCAAATTGCAGTTGATGGGCCAATGAAGCTTCTTTTAAAGAAGTATCCCCATCAGAACAGAATAAAAGAAACACCCTTCTCCCCTTGTCCACTCATTTGCTGATGTGGGCAAGAAGCCGACCAGACCTGCACCTCCATGACAAGCCTGGTCAGGGCTCCTACGGGGTTTGGCATCAGGGGAGGGTTTCTGCCACCACTTGAGGGTTTCTGCAGGGTTATAGAATTGTGCAGGGAGGACGGGATCTTTAAGATCATTGAGTCTAACAAAACACTGCCATGTCCACCCCTGAACTGTGTCCCTAAGGGCCATTCAGCATTGCTGTCCCCTCCGCGCTTCGGGAGCCGTCTACTGGGAACGAGCCAGAATTACACCTTTTACCTTTTCACCTCGGCGACTCAACTAACGGGAGAAATGCCTCTCGCCCGTCCTTCCTGCCTTCCTGCCTTCCTGCCTTCCTTCCTGCCTGCCTGCCTTTCTGCCTTCTGGCCTTCTTTCCTTCCTGCCTCTCTCCCTCTCTCCCTCCCCTCCCCTCCCTTCCTCTCCCCCCTCCCTCCCTCCCTCTCTCCCCCCTCCTCCCTCCCTCTCCGACCTCCCTTCAGTCCCTGACCCATCCCTCCATCCCTCCCTCCCTTCCTTCAGTTCAGTTCCCTCCGTTCAGTTCACTGTGGAGTTGATCAAGGAAGGAGACTCTTCCCAATTCCAAGCCAGACCAAAAACCGCATAATTGGGACTTTCCATCTGGAAGAAACAATGGACAATTGAGAAGCAAATGTAGAGCTTCTTCACAGGGTGACAAGGAAGGGAATCTTCCAGCGTAGTTGAGGTCTTACCGAGTTTTTATTCTGAGTCCCACTCAAGAAAGCCGTCCGGAAATGGTCTTCTTATCTCCGGTACTCCCTCGACTGCTTCGCTGCAACAATCACAGGAACCAGTCTGGAGAGAGGCTCGGCTGATTGTAGAAACGGATGCTGCCCAAAGGGGAAAACAAAAAGAGAGGAAGTGTTACTTTCCAGACTCCCTTCCTCACAGGCTCAAGCAGGACTCCTGTGCTTGCCAGAAAGATGCAGAAATAGGATGGAGGGGACCATCTGCATCTCTGTCTTCATGTCCAGGACCTTGCTATCCCAGGCAAAGCTGGCCCCTAATCCACAAATCCATTCCTCAGGGTGTCTTCTGCTTCAGCAGACTCCCTTAGGTTCCTCTTTTCTCCACGCATGGGCTAGTTTAGTTGCCCAAAGAGAGGAGAGGCATAAGCCATTGCTCAGGATACTCCAGCACCTCAAACACAGCCAAATCTCAGACCGCTCGGCTGGGACCGCTTCCGTTGGGTTCCTCCAGCACCATTTCAGGCCTGGCATCGTCCTACTTCAGTTCTTTTGCTACCAGGTCAAACCGAAGGCAGCATCAAAGTGCAAAAGTGGGCCACAGGAATGATCAGAAGGTGGAACCTCTCTTCTGAGGAAAGGCTGAGAGAATTGGGCTTGTTCAGCCTGGAGAAGAGCAGGCCCTGAGGAGACCTTCTTGCCACCTTTCCATACTTCAAGGGGGCTTAGAAGAAATATGGGGACACAGTTGTTCCCTGGGCCAGTTGCAATAGGGGAACTGGATTGAAACTAAAAGAAAGTCAACTCACACTGGGTCTAGGGAAGACATTGTTTACGGGGAGAGCGGTGAAACGCTGGCACAGGCTGCCCAGGGAGCTGGGAGGTGCCCCAGCCCTGGAAACATTTGAGGTCAGGCCAGAAGGAGCTGTGAGCAACCTGATCTCCTTGAAGTTCAGCGTCCCCACCCAGGGCAGGGATGTTGGACTTGATGACCTTCACAGGTGCCTTGCAACCCCAAGCAGTGTAGGCTCCTACTTAGTTTTGATTGGAAAAGCAGCAGGCGTGGAGATTAGCAGGAGGGGGGATCATCTGATGCCTTGGAGTTTAGCCGAGAAGCCATGCCTGAGATGGGACAGCTGTTCCACCTGCAGCCGCTTCCCTCTTTACCTGCAGAACCCCTGGCTACACTCCCCTCTCTTGCATGACTTCCTGAACTGCTGCCTGCAGAGGGACGAGGAGAGGCGAGCGTCTGCCCAGGAACTTCTGCAGGTAGCAGTTCAGGAAGTCATGCAAGAGAGGGGAGTGTAGCCAGGGGTTCTGCAGCCTTGGTGTCCTTGCTCTGGCTATCAGGTCTTGAGCCTGAAGAAGAAGGAAACATGAGACTCTGCCTCTGCAAAGGGGCAATAAGCTCCTCAATTTCTTCCATGTCCCAAAAAACAGCCAAGGATTCGGCAAACAATTAGGGCTGCAGTCTGTGAAAGCAAGATCCTAAACTTACCCAGACCACCCAGACACAGGACAGAACAATACAGAGATGATTTAGAAGCCTGAAAGTGTCTGGTTGCGAGACAGAGCTCAGAGAGATCCAAAAGCGCACCAGATCTTTCAGGCATCGCTGAAGGCCAAGAGGAGAGGTTTCTGAAGTGGCTACGTGCCACTTCCCTTCTGAGGTTCTCCCCGTGAATGGCAACAGAGCTCCAGCAGAGGCTGGTGTGCTGCAGGGGCACTTTTAGAAATGGACCTCGGTGGGAGTAGTTCAAGCAGGTGGGAATGGCATTTTGTCTCATGGGAGACAGAAGATGGGACAGATTACAAAGACACTGGTGTCTGAGGGTCTTTGCAGCTTACCATGGAAGGGCTTTCCTTAAAGTAAGGAGGCTCTCCTTCCAGCATCTCTATTGCCACGATGCCGAGAGACCAGATGTCCACCTTGGGGCCGTAGGGTTGGCTTCTCACAACTTCAGGGGCCATCCAGTAAACAGTGCCGACCATGGAGCTCCGTGTCCTGTGCTCAGGGGTGAGCTGAGCACAGAGGCCAAAATCAACTGAGGAGAAAGACAAAGACTGTTCAAACAAGCTTCAGTTAGGAAACCAAGGAAAAGAATTGCCCACTCAAAGTCTGAGAGCGCGGTGCTGGATCGATCGGGGAAAGTGGCCGTGTTCAATTTCCTCAAGGCTGCAACCAAGCAAATAAGGCGTTGTCCCCTGACCAAAAGCCCCATGCCTCATGCAGTGCCTTTCATTTATTCACCTGAAGGTTTTGATTGTAACTCCCTCCCTCTGGAAGGGACACACACAAACCAAAGCCACTCTTAACACCGTGTTCCTCTCTAGACCTCTCTGCCCCTTGCAGCTGTGCTCTTAGCTTGCAGGAGTGGTCCGTGCACTCTGCCAAGCACCGCTGTTGGGGACGTGGCAGTGACTCCACGGCAGCCCCACACCGCATCCCCGGAACGCTGAGCCCAAGCAAGAATACCCACCCAACTTCACCGCTCCGTCCAGGCCCAGAAGAATGTTGTCACTTTTGATGTCTCTGTGGATGACCCCGTTGGAATGAAGGAAAGCCAGTCCCTGCAGGCACTGAGAGAGAAGAAACAAACAGGAAGGTAAAACTTAGTGATCGCATTTCACCACCCAAGAAAGGAAACTGCCGTAAAAGATTCAAGCATTTCTAGGGGAACAGTCAGCAATGACAGGGCACAGTGCTGTCAAGAGGAAGAACTTGCTGCGGCAACACTAGGAGAGCAGTGTCTTTCTAAGTGAAGGCATATTAGCTTTGAAAGAGAAACAGGCCTTGTTGCTCCAGTGCCCTGCAAAGCCCACCAGAATGACTGCTGCTGCAGTGCTTGTGCTCTCTGCCCCCAGAGGACAAAGGAGGCTTTGCCAACAAATGGCATGAAGTAGGTGGCTTCTGGGCGGGAGGTTGCACAATCAAGATTTTCTTGCTAGCCTCGCCAGCAGCCTTGGAAGTAGCACATTAGTCAGTCTTCAGAAGCAAACACCATGTTGGGTGCAAAGCTATCCTTTGAAGCTGAGGAGTGGCAGCAACGAGTCTGGATTTTTCTTTGCCATTCCTTCCAACTTCTGCCACCAGCACCTTTCCTTTTACAGGCAAGCAACGCAGTAGAGACAGGCTCCAGGCAAATGTTTAGAGAGGCCAAGTGGGCAACAGGAAATACATTTGAAAAACCACCGAGGGAGAGAGTACAAGCAGGGTGGATAAGAGTATCATAAGAACAGAGGATAGGAAGGGCAGGGACACTGGCAGGCAGTTCACTTGAGAGCCCCTTTCTCCTCCGGATCATAAGAGCAACAGAGGACCAAAGCTCTGAAGATGAAATCAGTGCTGTTCACCCCGCCTCTTTACAAGGACAATCCATTCCAAGCCATGCGAAGCACAAGTGGGATCCCTTACCTCCCGACAGACAGCTGCTATCTGCCCTACAGCCAGCCATGTCTCGGTAATAACATCAGTCAAAGAGCCTCCGTCCATGTGCTCCATCACCAGCCAGAGCTCCTGACTGACAAGGTAGCTGGAAGTAGAAAACAACAGCGTGGAGAGGAATGTGCACAGCTTAACTGCCTTATGGAAAAGCCTGCTCTCCGGAGTTTTTTTTCCAGGTCACTTGTACATGAAGGCAGACTAAAAGGAAGAGACATTCCGCCTGGGCTGGACAGGGCTTACAATCTCCATGAAAAGAGGAGCTGCCTAAGGTGGCAATCAAGGGCAAAAAGACATTTAGTAACAGCGAAGATGAACCTGGAACCGGGACACATCCCATCAGTTGGTTCATCCTCCTAACACATCAATTCCACCCTTCACTCCAGCAGCAAGGAGACATAATTTTCACAACTTTTATCTAAGCAAGGAGGGTGTGCAGCACTGAGGACAGAATTTGGTCAACCCTTTGAGAAAAGAAGATGGAGGGTGAGAACGTAGAGGCTGTTGATTTAGTTAGAGATCCAGGTTTTGGAAAACAGTCTTCAAACTGTGTCTGCCAGGAAGCACTAATGCAGACCAAATGCAATCTCCTCCCATACCTGCTATACAAGTAGTTAATAATAATGAAAAGATCCATTTTCTGCCAGGGAGTCAAAGGCTTTTTAACCTTTGCCTTGCAAGTCTGTAAATGAACATTCACAGGATAATACCAGAACTGCTTACCTGTCTACATAGGTGACAATATTGGGGTGGTTCTTCTCCCTCAGGACCAGGATTTCTTTGAGGAGTTCCTCATTGCTCTGTTGGTGGAGATTGACTTGCTTGATGGCCACCTAAAATGACGTTGAAAACCATGAACTTGAGACGTCTCTCGCACGAGAGACAAGGAGCACGGAGTGCACGATTTTGGAACGACACAGCCAAGCTGAGCCCAACGGCCTCGCGATCCGACGTCAGAGCAATTTGGAACTGACATGACAGCAGCCCTTTTCTCTGCTGGCTCGAGTATCAGTTACAGGGCCTGGGTCCATGGATGTTTTGCCTTGTCCACTTGGCAGAAATGGTCTCTAAACTAGCAACCACAAAGCTCTAACAACACTCTGCACCCACATTCTTCCCAAATGGCCTTAGTCTGTCACCACTGTTATCATGTACACACGATTTGCAAGCACAAAGCAATGATGCTCTTGTGAAAGTGTATCCAAACAGCTGGTAATGCCTTAGCCTTTCTAGTGGGTCTGATGCGTATTTCACAAACTGCTGCTATTCTCAGTTGTGCAGGAAAGCAATCATATTACAGACCAAATGGTTGAGATTTGCAATTGGATATGGCCTAGGTGGTAAGCGGGGCTTAGTGCTTTTGAGTGCCTTGAGGACCTCTCTCTCAACACAGTTCCCAAGCGCAGCAGTGCAGGTGGATAAGGAAGTACCAGGAAGATTCTGATGTCTTTGCTGACAGCCAGAAACGAGAATTCAGGAAGGTGGAGCTGGAGCCCCAAAGAGCAGTGGGACTCTCTGAGGCACTACCGTGTCTGCTTACTACAAATAGCATCTCTGTAATGGGCTGGCCCAGACATCAGACCAAACCAGGATGGTACTGCTCGGGAGAGATCTTTGCTCTTGGTAAACGTGTTCTCATTGGTCAATGTGTTTGCCAACCAGCTTCACTAGGACTGAAACACAAAGCTGCGTTGCAAAGGTGGTCTCTCCTTCATTGGCTTTTGCGTTAGATTTTCAAGATGAAAGCCCTGGTGGAAAAAAGCTAAATCCTCTCTGTGTCTGACCCTGGGATGAAGAGAAATTGGGCCTGAATGAGGGCAGTCGCCATCAGCCAGTCAATGCCCATTTATCACTTGAGACCACACTAGCGTGTCCTTCTCTGAAAGATAACGCTGCCCTCCTTGCATTCTTTCAGGTAGTGAAGAAGGACAAAGTCTGCCCCAAAAGCATTTTGCAGGCTGCCTCTAGCCTGGGCTTCAGAGGAACGACCTGTGCAGCAAAGAGCGGCAACCCAGAGCTCCAGCCACAGAGGAGAGCACTCAAGAGCTGCAAAAGCTGCGGGGTTGTTGGCACTTACCTCTCGTCCCGTGACAGCATCGAATGCTCTGTACACGGTGCCGAAACCCCTAGAAACAGAACAGCAGCGAAGAAATTCCGATCAGCACTGAGAGGCGGGAGACTCTGAGCCCTGTGTCTGAACACGCTGGGAGCTTGCCTGACCTCCCGCTTGAATGTGGCACCAGCAAAATACCTGGCCCCTGGTTTTGTCGAAGGAAGTGTGGTTGCACTCACCCTTTGCCAATATTTTGCCATCCAGTGTATTTCTTCAGCGGATCTCCCACACTCACAATGCTCCCTGAAAGAAGCCAAATGCAACGTGCTCACTTCATAGCAGAGATAGCAGTTTCCAGCAGATCCAAAAGGCAGCCCCTCTGTGACACCAGAGTGAGCAGGAACATGTGGCACAGCTCATACTGAGACATGCACACAACGCGCTGCTCTAGCAGACGAGAAATACGCAAGACGTACTCAGCAGCTTCAGGGACTGCTCCTCTCTCAGCTCTTGCAGCTGCTCTGCGCCCAGGCGTGAGCTGGACCGACTGCTGGGGCTCGAGTTCTCAGGCTGGGGAGTGGAGGCTTCCTCACAGGGGGCTGCTGGAGCCACAGGTTCGCTGGCAGGTTCGCCTCTGTAGATCTGGAACAAGCAATTGGTTTGTGTCAGAAAGGTGGCTGGCAGAGATGCCCCGGAGATCACATCTCAAATGCAAGGCTTCACAAAGATGGTGCCGCCAGGACTCTTCAACTGATTCATTAAACATTTTCACAGATTTTCTGAGAAATGACTGCAACAATGACCGCTTCACTTCGTGCCAACTCCTCCCTTCCCCCTCCAAGGACTACAGACACACAACCCTGTTGTGATGTTCTATCTCCTCCCATTGTCTCCTCTATTCCTTCAAATCTTAGGCAAGTGTTCAGTCTGCAGCACCTTCTGCTTTGACAGTTCCTGTGCCTCCCACAGATCTTGCTCAGCTTTGAGACCCATCACCTGCTGGGACTTGCCTGCCGTGCTCCTTCCCTCCTCAGTCCCAGCATCTACCTTGCAGGCCCTTGTTCCTGCCCTCCCTCTGTCAGCGGGCTACTCAGGCTTACCTGGCCATTCTCTCGCTCCTCTCTCGCCTCCTGCCTGCGCTGCCCTAGCTGCTGCTGGGTTTGGAGCAGCTCTACCTGAGTGCGGCACAGCTTCTCCAAGAGAGCGGTCTTCTCACGTGCCTTTTCTTGCAGGACCTGCAGAGAAAGGTGGAGGAGATGGCTTTCAACTTGCCCCACAACATCGGTGTGAGGTTGCGAGCTGACATGTCCACTGCCACCTCCAGGCAAAGAGAGCAAAGCAGTGCGAGACTACAGCTGTCAGCCATATCAGAGCCGATGAGGAAAGGGAAAGAACAGCTTGAAAGTTCACCCCATGCTGAATGAGGACAAGACGCACAATGGATACGGGCAACTTGTTCCCAAATCTATCTGGGACCCCATGTTCAGCTAAACAAACACCTCAAAAAACTAGGCTGGCAGTCACAGGCCAGCACAAATGCATGGGGATGATTGCTGGCCAAGCGGCCAGAGGACTAGCCCTGCTGTCCAG